GAGAAAATGGGGATTCAGAGACATCCAGCAACTTGTCTAAGGTTACACAGCTGGTGGCTTCCAAAGAATTCCAGAATTTTTGATAAAATTTTCCCTTTTTTTTTAACAGTGCCCCCAAATAGCTCACTTAATAGCATACACAAAAGCTAGCTTTTAAGTCTTGAAGATCCCAACTCTTAGCTACTGACCATTTAGAATGTGGACAGCTTCCAGGCTCCAGAATCAACTATCTGAGTAATGAAACTAGAACATGCAGATGTCACACAGAGCCCTGAATTCATTCTATCCCAGATGAAGAATCTCTTCTATAGAGAATTTTATGGGGGAGACAAGTAGAACTTAAGTATTCTCACAAAAAGCTTTAAATTTGACTGTGTTCTAGGTTCAGTTTATCAGGTGTGTGATTGAGTTCAAGGACCTTCCAGAAAGAGACAACACCAAACTAAGTACTTGGTGAAGTAAAGCATTGTGTTGGCCCACGGGAAGGGGGGCTAGGGATAAGAAAAAGAGGTGACAGGGATGCCTGGGTGGCTCAGTGGTTGAGCACCTGCCTTTGGTCCAGGGCGTGATCCCACACGTGTCCCACATCAGGCTCCCTGCATGGAGCCTTCTTCTCCCTCTGCCTGTGTCTCTGCCTCTCTCTCTCTGGGTCTCTCATAAATAAATAAATAAAATTAAAAAAAAAAAAGAAAAAGAGGTGACAGTTACATTAGTTTTATAGTTTACGAAGCATTTTTAGACATTAATCCCATGGGGGAAGGAACGACCGTTTTCCTGCTGCATGGAGAAAACAAGGGTTAGAGAATATAAGGCATGGACTCCTTCAAGAAGCCTCTAGCTAAGAGGGGGAGGACGAGGTGGAAACCAAGGACTCTAATGTCAGGAGGGAGAGAGAAGGGTCAGGGACTTGACAACAGAATACTGAGGTGGGGGTGAGGAGGAAGTGGAGGGAGTGCCATTCTGGGGGACGACCAGAATCTTGGGAAAGCCTCACCGGTGGCATTAGTGTTGAGGCCAGCAGTCAACCCATGAAGGGTTATCTGCGATGGGTTGTAGCTTTTGAGGGCCTAGGTTCCTTGTCTCCATCCTGTCCCAGGACCAAGGCAGACAGACAGCCGGATTGGGAATGGGGCTCAGCCAGGGAGGTGTCCTCATCTAAGGCAGAAGGAAGGCACATTCCAGAGCACCGCTTCCCAAACCTCGGTGTTCAAGCGAATCTCTTGCTAAAATGCCATTTTTGATCCAGTAGGTCTGGATTGGGACCTGAGACTCAGTGTTTCTAATAAACTCCTCCAGGCAATGCTTGATGCTGCTGATCCACGGGCCACACTGGGAGGTGGGGGAGGAGCATCCACTTCACCGAGCGGCCTGAGAAGAGCAGACTGCTCGGGTCTCACGCCAGACTTAACTGGATCAGAATTCGCATTTCGGCGAGGTCCCCAAGGGGCTCATAGGTGCATTTAACTCGGAGAGCTGCTGTCTGACCCGCAGGAGGGGCCCGAGGAGGTCCGGACGTCTCCGGCAGGGCAGTCCCGCCGGCAGGCCGCTTCTCTCCGCAGGGCCCCGGGGAGCTGCTCCCCCGGAGCCCGAACCAGTAGCAACCGCGGGAGGTGCTCGCCTCGTAAGCCTCGTCGCGGGGTTCCGTTCCGCCCCGACCGGCGCTTCCCCGGGGCGCCCCAGCTGCGCCGCAGCCCCGCGCCCGGGCCGCTACCGCGCACAGCGGGCGCCCCCGGAGCTGCGGCGGCGCGGGGCGGCCGGGCGGGGGCGCCGCAGACTAGGCTGTGCGGCCCGGGGCGGCTCCGAGGGCGGCTCCGAGGGCGGCTCCGAGGGCGGGGGAGCGGCGGGAGCGGCGGGAGCGGCGGGAGCGGCGGCTCGCGACCTGGGGGCGGCGCGCGGCTCCCGGACCGCGCTCCCCGGGGAGCCCCGTCGGGGATCAGCCCCCGGCCCCGGGGCGGGTGAGCGGGCCGGCCTTCCCCGAAACAACCGCTGATTCCAGCCCCGAGCTGCGCGAGGGCCTCGGGGCCCCAAGGCCGACCCCAGAGCATCGTTATCCTCGTCACTAAAAGAGCCCGCCGCCCGCCGCCCGCCGCCCGCCGCCCCTTCCCTCCTGCGCGCTTCCGAAGTCCGGCCGGGGCGGGGCGGGGCGGGGGGTGTCGAGCGGCCCGAGGGTTGCAGGAGGATCGTAAAACCTAACGATTTGCTGGGAAATCGGGCCGAGAAAACGCAATTTACAAAAGGGCGAGTCTTACGCGGGGGAGAGGGGAGCCGGGCGGGGAGCGCACGGCCGCCGAGCCCTCGCCGCGTGCCCGCAGGAGCCTGCCGGCCGCCGCCGCGCCTCCCTGCAGCCCCGCCGCGGGCGCCGCGAGCATTTCGCAGGAAGAGGAGGCTGCGGGGGCGCCCCGGGCCGCGGCGTCGGCGCATCCCCGCGCCCCCGCCCCCCCGGTCCCTGCGGGTCGCGGGTCTCAGCCCGGCCCCCGGTCCTCGCCGGCGCTGGGGGCGCGCGTCCCCCCGCGAGCCTCCCTTTCGCGCCGGAGCGCAGCGGACACCGCGGCTCACACCCTCGCGCAGCCGCCGCCGCCGGGATGCGCGCGTGCCCCCCGCCCGCCGCGGTGCTCGGAGGATGTCAGGCTAAACCGACCGTCTTAGCACTTATCAGAGCCTACGTGCTCGGTCTGAGGCTTATCGGCTTCGGCCAAACTTTGTGTGTGTGTGTGTGTGTGTGTGTGTGTGTGTGTGTGCGCGCGTGCGCGCGCGTCTCCACCCTCCTCTCGCCTCCTCACCCCCGCCCGTGCAGGGCGAAGTAGTCCTATACAGCGATGATAAATATCCCTGTTGATCACTTGATTGATTACCTCCCTGAAAGGTCACGCGGGCTCGCAGTAATTTCCTTTTGCCTAAGGCTCCCTTTTCACTTTTACTCTGGCACGACAGCTCCGAGTACACGGGATCTTTATTTTTTATTTTAACCCCTAAATGCAACCCCTCCCGAAAACAATGCAGGCAAGAAAAATCGAATAAAATCAACTCGAGACCTTTTAGCTCACTCGCGGTCGCCTTCCCCATCTTGCTCCTTTCTTTGCTTCTGGCCCCCGCCCCTCCTACTCCGGCCCCCTCGCCCCAACTCAAATGTATTCTAGACACTATTTAATAGATGAGTGTCTTGCAAGTAAACTCAGGCGTCCCTTGGGTCTGCATTTCATGTCTGTGACTCTCTTTCTCCCGTGGACTAAAAATTCGGATTTAAACCACTAGACAAGCTATTAATTTAGCTAGACTACCCAGGGTCCTGAACCCAATTAATTTCTAATAATTATAGCCCAAGGGGGCTAGATAGATCTCCCTGCCTCTTTCTTTTATTGCCACTCCACGCCACCGAGGTCAGCGTATAATAATAAAGTGTATATTTTGAAAGCGATCTCCAGAACAGTGAGTTATTGCAATGAATGAAAATTGTTTCCATTTTGGCTAATTGAGCCCGTGGCCGAAAGCTAGAGCTCTGAGACTAAATAAAGAGGACTGTTTCCTTTCAACATGAAGAAACCCCCGCCTAGCTCTGGTCACCCAGCGAGAGTTTAATTTCTTAACAGCCAACCTGAAACCCAGCGTTGGGTAAACAGTATTAATAATTGCATTACAATGATTAAATTAATCTTGCTGGTAGCCAGGAGAATTTAGGTTGAATAGCAAGATGTAAAGTTCACTGCACAAAGACAATAGGCCAAGAAATACCTCCATAAAGAATTCAAACTTTCTTCCAAAGACACTGCGGGGCTGGTTCAATTATAATTCGAGGAGAGGAAAAGTTCCTGTTGCATGCAATGTATTGAAAATCATTTGCCGTTTTTTAGCATTTATTAAAGAAACGTGGTTGGCGAAAGGGTATCCTTCTCTTGTCCTCTTCCATGACCCCTCTCCCTTTCAACTCCCATCTTGATCTCTCTACTTCTCCTTAAAGAAAAACAAAAAAACACAAAAACCACAACCTCCCCAAACCCCCGAAACAAAATATGACAGTAATAAAAGAAGCAAATCCAGACAGCCCGTAAGCTCATCGACTTTCCAAGGAGGCACTGCTTCCAGGATGCTCTCTTCCGTTGGAGAAAACGCAAGAAAACGTTGGTACCCAAGCCCCCTGGAGGAAACGAATTTCAGGAGGAGAGGGAAAGGTGGGTGGTGGGGCATCGGGGAGCGAGGGCAGCTCGGCCAACCGGTTGGAGGCCTCTTTTCTCTTGAGCGAGCCACAGCTTGGACGTCCCGTCCGAGGGTTTTGGGAATCCGAGGGGCCGCTGAACAGAAAGTCACCTGCTTGGGTCTCACGGCTGAGACTCAGGACAGGTGGAGCTGACGGGGTTCCTGCGCTTGGAAGCGGGAGCCCGCCCAGGTCCGCACGCGGGGGCCGCGGCGCTGCAGGCGGCGAGCGCAGTCCGCTGCTGCTGGGCGTTTGCTCCACCAGGTTAAACACACTTGAACTAGAAACTTGGCTTTTTTTTTTTTTTTAAATACTCACCCAAGGCAGAAAGCAAATGAGAGAGAGAGAGAGAAAGAGAGAAAGAGAGAGAGAAACCCAGCTTTCAGGTTTGAAAATAAAAGTGATGATATTGTGAATACTTTACTTAAAAAACAAACAAACAAAAAAAACCCACCCAGCAAAAAGAATGATGCCTTGTCTATTCACAATGGTTTGGCCCTAAGGCGCAGAGGAGTTTGTGTTTATTATTTCAGTTGGAAGGGGTTGGATTTGCTCGTGTCCCGAAACTCCTGGAAAGACCAGGCATTCGCAGAGGCTGCCGCGACCCCAGGGACTTTAAAAACCAGAAGGGGAGGGTACTCCTGCGGCACGTCACCTCGGTGCCCTTCGCCCTCTAGGAAAGTTTAAAAGACAGGGATCCTGAAGTCTGGGGACTCAGATTGTATTTTCTTGAGTCCTTCATACCCTCCCCAATTCCCTTCACAGCCCCCACCCCACCCCTGGCCCGCCACGTGGTTTTTAATTTCTCAGCAGAAACAATCACCGCAGCTTCACATGTGGGTCTTCTGTTTAATCTTGGGTTTGGTTCCAGGGTACCTTCGTTTCTTAGAAAATTCCCTGGCACTCCTCTTCACCTCCTCTCCTCAAGGGGACCAGGATATGGACACCCACCCCCCACCCGGGGATTAGATGAAAGGAATCAACGAGAGCAGCAGAGGGGAGGATAGGAACTCCTTTCATTATTTTTTTAAAGCATCCCCAGGCTGAGAAGGTGAAAAGTCCCAGGCTGAGCCTCCTACTGTCCTGGGAGCTCTTCCTCCCCATGGGGGCTTCCTTCTCTCCCGGGGGACTGGGCTCTGGAGGTTCTTGATGGTTGGGAGGGGCCTGATGCTCCAGTGCAGCCTCTCTGTCCTTTGGTCTAAGTGAGGGTCCCCAGGGAGTCCTTAAACTGCTTCTCTGATCGTCCTGCCGGCCAGCCTGGCGTTTCTCTCCCTAGAGATTTTATTCCCTTTCTAAAAGTTCTCAATCCCCCACTTCTCCTTTTCCTGGGAGAACACTTACTGGTCAGAGGGGAGGCACGACTCCATCTAAACTGAGAGGAACCTGTGGACTCACACTCACAGACCTCTGGGTATCCACACTCAGAATGTTGAAGTGCCTGATGCTTTTGCACCCACCTCTGTTGTGCTTAAGTACACCACCTGGATGGGCAGAGCAACAGGAATTGTAGTCGGACTGGAAGAAAAAAAAAAAAACAAAAAAAAACAAACCCACCTGCCTCTTCAGTCCGGAGGGAATGGTAGAGTTCTCTTGTGTCCATCTGGTGCTTACCAGAACCTTCTCTTTGGGAAGTTGTTTTACTCCTGCTCTGCGTAATTCTTTCCTTTGCTTCCTTTCTTTCCCCCACATTTCAACATTTCACATCTGTCTCTCTTGGGACCTGTACTTGGTTCTCCAGGGACCTGTATCCTTCAGCCACATGCTTCCAGAATTACCCAGCTCTGAGGAAAGAAATGGTGGGCATCCCTAGCCAGGGCGATCCCCTTTGAATTTTGATTTCCTCAAACAGAGATTTATTTATTTATTTTTTTAATTTAACGAGCCATTGATGAATGCCCTTTAGGCTTGAGCCTCGCTATTTGCTCAAGGTATTCTCAATGATCTCCCCTTCCCTCCCCTGCCTTTGCCAAACTCATGACCAGGGCTTGCTTTTCTTTTCCTTTTCCTCTAACTGGAACATCAAGGATGTGCTGTTGCAGCACAGAGACTGAAAAGACTGTAATTTTCTTTTACGGTGTCTGGCAGGATTTGCAACAGATATTATTGGGGACGTAAATAGCTCATGGAAGGTATTGAACAAAACTGTTTAATGCAAGGAGGTTGTACCAAGAGAAAATCTATACGTAGTTGAAATTGATTCATACCTTGAACACAGCTGGCCCCTTTAGGATTTCCCCGTTTCTGGGTGCCCACTTCATTGGTAAATCCTGTAATTAAAGCAACTTTCGACAATGCTGTTTTTTTTTTTTAAGGGTGGGGGAGGAATTCCCCCCCACCCCCACCTCCTCTTTCGCTTGACCCAAAAGGTTGTGGCTTTAAGCGAGTGAGTGAAAATGGCAGGCAGGCTGAGCTGCAGCAACAGGAGATGGGGGCAGCGGTGGGGGAGGCCGGAAGGTGACAGCCGATCTCGGGGAAGCAGGAGGTCTTGGATGTTAAATGCCCGAGCCTGCCCGGACCTGGGAATCAAAGTGCTCATCCCTACTGGGTGGGACTGGACCACTGAAATGCTCCAAGGGTAGCTGCGAGCGTTGGTATTATACCTAACATCAAGGAAGAAAACAGCTACTTAATTCTGCTTTCAACTCTGAAAGCACAAGCCGCAATAGCTCCAGCAGCAGTAGGAGCGGCCGCAGCAGATTTCCTGAAGTTCAGGATGATTCTCACTTTCTCCTGGATCATTTGTCAAGAGTCCTGTCCTTCTCGTTCTTTAGCACGGAAAAGGTCTCAAAAGCCCCACTTCTCGCTTTCTCCGTGGATGGTATTGAAAATCTCCTGCAATTTATGGTGGGAAAAACAGTAATAGTAATGGTACAGGCTTATTGGAGATTCCGACGCGAAATCAATCCTTTGCCGTGGTCTCTTTTATGCCGCCCCCCCCACCCCCGCGCCCGCCTTTTTTTTGGGGGCGAGGTGTCTGCTCCCCTCTGGCTCCCCGTGCTCGCTCCCCGCCCCCCGCCGCCCTCCCCGCGGCTCCCTTTCTCCGCCTCCTCAGCGATTGCCATCTGACAAGATCTCCAAATCAAAGTGATAAATCGCTCCAAACTTTTTTTGGCGGCGCTGAGATGTTGGAGGGGCGTCTAGCGCGCATGTGCGAAGGTGTCCGAACTGACAATGCTGGAGAGATAGCGAGTGTGGATTGAGAGAAAGGGAGCGAGGGAGGGAGAGAGAGTGAAAGAGGGAAAGACAGAGAGTGAGTGTGTGTAAGTGCGTGTGCGTGTGTGTGAGTGAGAGAGAGAGAGAGAGAGAGAGAGAGAGAGAGAGAGGAGCGAGGGAGGGAGCGAGAGGGAGAGCAAAAGAAGGAAAAGATCCAAGAAAAAAAAACCCCAACCACACACCAGCGGCTGCAGGACTGGGCACAGCATGAGATCCAAAGGCAGGGCAAGGAAACTGGCCACAAGTAGGTGCAATATCCCTTTTCTATTGGCTTCCCCCCTCCTCTGCCATCTTGCATATCTGTCTCCAGCGCTCCGGGAGGGAGCGCGCAGCTGCCTCGGGCGCCGGGGCCCGGGCGGAGGGCGGGCGCAGCGCAGCCCCAGCAACCTGCCGGCCCCAGCCTCGCGCCCGGCCGCCCGCGCTCGCGCTGCTGGTGTGGGCGCCAGAGGAGCCGGGGCAGCCCTCAGCCCCGCGCACCGACCGGCTGAGGCAGCCCCGGGGTGGGGGTGGGGGTGGGGGTGGGGGTGGGGTGGGGGTGGGGGCGGCCGAGACCGGGGTGGGAGGGAGAAGAGCGCGCGAGAGCCAGCGGGAAGGGGTGGGGTGGGGGGGAGAGGAGTCGCGAGAGTCTCCCCCTCCCCTCCCCTTCCCCCCAGGCGGAGGAGAGTCGCCTCTGGCCAACCAGCTAGTCCCGCGGATGGGAGGGGGCGCGGGGATGGGGGGAGGCGGGCTGGGGATGGGAGCGTCTGCGAGCCGCGGGTTGTTTCTGGGGCTCGGGGTGGGCGGCGGCGGCGGCGGCGGCGGCGGAGTTGGGGAAAGTTGCGAGGCGGCCGCGGGAAGTTGCGCGGGCTGGCGGGCTGCGCCGAGCGGCGGGCGCGGTAGTGGGCGCTGTGCGCTCGGCGGTGCCCCGGGGCGGGCGCCGCGCGGCGGGGCGGCGGGGCGGCGGGACGGCGGGTCGGCGCGGCGCGGCGCGGCGGGGCGGGGCGGGCCGGGGGCTCCCGCGCGGGGGCCGGGGCGCCGTGGGGTCGGGCGCGCGCGCCGCCGGCTCCGCGGAGGGCGCGGGGGGCAGGTGAGCAGAGCGGGGGCCCGGCGAGCGCGCGGGGACGGGCGCGGGGCGCGCGGCCAGCGGCGGCCGCCGCCGGGGACGAGGGGCCGACAGGGCCTGCTCCGGCCGGCGAGCTCCGGGCTGGCGGGGCGCCGGGTGACCCCCAGGGGGCGGGCTGCCGGGACCGTAGGCCGCGGGGGGAGCGCCGCACGGCCTCTCGCTCTATTTCTGGGTACAGCCGGGTCTCGGGTCACTAACCCTCCCCGGCGCCCCCTGCCTGCCCGGCGCGGCGCGGCGCGGCGCGGCCTCGGTCACGCGGGACCTGGGAGCTCGCGCTCGGGCGGGGGCGGCGGGGGGCCCCCACCCCCACTCTCCTCGCCAAAGTGTTGGGGGGACTTGGCCTGGAATGGTCCGCGGAGCCGAGGCGGGCTGGAAAGGCGGGAGCCTCGACCGGGACTGCGGGCGATAGGACCGGGTCTGTCCCGATGCTTCCCCCGCGAGCGTAAGGGGGACCGGGCGGTGCAGACGCGAGCGGCCCAAGCCCGCCTCCCGGAGGTGTCAGCGCGCCAGGCTGCGGCCGCCTGGGTCGCGGGACAGGCCGCCGTCCGCCCTCCCACTCGCTGAAAACACCTAATTGTTCTGCTTGTGGACCAGAGAAAGGAGGCACGGGGGAGGGTCGGATGCTTCGGCCCCGTGGAACCCCCAGTCTCTCCCCCCTTCGCATCCCCCAGCCCAGCACGGCCCCGCCCCGGCCTCCGGGTGCCCTCCGGGTGCCCGCAGCCGCCGCGCGCAGGACCGCGGCGCCCCCGCGGGCTGGGCTCCTTGGGCTCCTTCCTGGGCTCCTTGGGCTCCTTGGGCCGCGGGACGCCGCGTCGCGCCCAGTGGGACGGTGTCCTCGCCGGCGCCCGTCCAGCGCCCGTCCAGTCCCCACTCAAGCACTCCATCACCTCCCAGGACGCTGCCTTTCACCCCGTCCTCGAGATCCCCCTGGACAGGGCTCCCGGGTCGTCAGTCCGTCCGTTTCTCTCTTGGATCCTGTTCGTGCCCCTTAGCCGCGGACTGTCCGGGGGCGCCGGGAAGACCCGGAGTTTTCTGTTTTCTTTGAAACGAGGCCGATGTCTTTATTTTCATCCGAGGAGAAATTAAATGTGCATAGGCTCGGAGGCCTGGGGGCTTCGATTCCGGCTGAAGGTTTGGAGCGTGTGTGTGTGTGTGTGTGTGTGTGTGTGTGTGTGTGTGCGCGTGTGTGTGTGTCTGGGGGGAGAGAACCGTGCGCGGGAGGGAGGCGCGCAGAGCCTGTTCCAGCCGCGCCTAAGTCGTGAAATGAAAGCCGCGGGCTTTGCGCCTCCTTGCCCGGGATCCGCCGAAGTGAAAGCAGAACACAAAACCCTTCGAATTTTCTTGAGCAACTTTTTTCGACTTATTTTAATTGCCGAGCTCTACGCCGCCCTGCTAAAATACCCCCGCTCGCGCAGCCCGCTCCACGTCCAGAAACTGAACCTCATTTCCCGATCGGATGGTATTTGTCATTCTTCCAGTGAGAGACTCATTTTTTTTTTGGGGGGGGTGGGGGGGAGGTGTCTCCAGTGCGGGTGAGGATGCCGCGGCCGCGCTCCGGTCCCTCCGAGGGAGCTCGTGCAAACTTTCCTCGCTGCGCCTGCGAGTCTGCTCCCGCGGCTCCAGCTGTGGCCACCGGGCAGCCCTGCTTAGGCAGGAGCGCGCTGCTGTCCGCGATTCTCCAGTTACAATCCGAGCCATAAAGGGAATCATATCAAATGTAGGGATTTTTTTTTTTTTTTTGTATTTTAAGGCGCTATTTCCTTCCCCCCGCCGCGGTGCGTGAGTTTCGGAGATAGGCAGTGACCCCTTGCCGCGCAGCCCAGCGAGAACTTCGCCGCTCTGTCTGCCTTGCTTGCTTTCTTTTTCTGGGTTAGAAAGAGGCAGTTGTGACCAGCATACTTTAAAAAGCATACCTTTATGCTCTCTCTCTCTCTCTCTCCTTTTTTTTTTTTAACATGCAAAGCCAACATTATAATGGAAACAAATCACATAGAAACTAGTCGTTTTCTGGACTCCTTGTTATTCTTTTTTTTTTTTTTTTTGTCTTTTGTGAATTTCTGTGGTGGCCAAGTCCTGTCAGGGTCTTGGCTACAGTACAGGATCCCATGGACCCTGAAAGTACCCACCGAAGTTAAGCCCAGAATGAATGCACAACCCATGCACAACCCATGTTCCAACTTATAGGGCTTGTATTTTTTTTTCCTCCCTCTACAATAAGTTGAAACCGAGAAATTCGTTGCAAATCATTTGGGAGGAATAAACCGTTTAATTAAAAAAACAAAGAAGGGAAAAGCAAGAAGATTGACAGTTGTGCTGTCTAAAGCCCTTGGCTTTTATTCCCATCTTTAAGAAGAGAAAACTAAAAGCCAAGCAGACTCTGGCAGCGCGGGGAGGCTTCCCAGCGGTTTTTTTGGGCAGCTAGGAGAGAGAGCACCTGGGCGGTGCTGGAATTGCCAGTTGCAACTTTTTTTCTCCTGGTGATGGGAAAGAAGTCAGGTTGGGTTTGCCCAGCCTGTCTAGAGCCGAAACACCGAGGCAGCCCCCACCCCACTTCTCTCAAGTGACACCCGGCAGGGTTTCAATCACAGCCATGAACGAGTTGCAACGTGTAACCCCCCCTTAGCTACCGGCCCCCCAGAAGTCTCGTAAAGACCCAGAAGGCGATGCGATTAGCAAGACCCCGGAGAGGGGGCCACTTGTTACTTGTACACTTGATCTGTGTTTAAAAAGAGGCTCTTAAATAGGGAAGGTAGATGAGGACCCTCCCTCACGTGCTTAAACTCCTCACCTTAGCAGCCCAATACCTAAGACAACAAAGGAAGTGCGCACCCAGGTTCCAGCCTGCACTGCCCGCATGCCCACTCATGTATGTTTTTCTCCATAGTTTAAAAAAAGGGGCGGGGGGAGATTGCAATACAGAGCTTTGTTTAAAAAACACATTT